GTGGTTTCTTACTCCTACTTTCCAGGTGAGGAGGCAAAGACCCCTGAAGCTAGACAGGAGCCCGAGACTGCCCCGCCAGGCCCGCTGGGGCCCACAGGAGCCCGCTCCCCCAGCCTCGCTGACTCCCGACGTACCAGCACTGCACAGCCGGCTCTGTCAGGGCCGGGGACGGTGCAACGTTCCATTTCTTCTTTTTTTAAAGGGTGTTAAAGAACTTGATTCAACTATTTCTTCCATGAGCAAGAGAGCCAGGAGATGAGTGAGAGATGGTACCTTACAGGGTCCTGAGGCCACGACCTCCCGGGCCCAACCAGCCTGGGTCATTTGCTCAGGGACTGCAGAGCTGAACTCGGAGCCTTCCCACGCACGACTGCCCGGAGAGCGAGTCTGCCGCAGCACTGCTCTCTGCCCCCACTCCCTCCTGTGTCCCAGGGTCACGCTGCTGGGGACCGAGGCTGGGCTATGAATAGCGAAGCTCACGGTCAGACTCCCTGTCATTTCTGGAGGTGGTTAACGGCTGTGGCTGTGCCAGATGCGGCACTCCACTCGCTGAGGTCACCGCTACATCCCGGGCTTAGTGTACCTCAGGGGTCTGTGGCTCTCAGCCTGCACCCCCGTCAGGCCTCGACCTGTGGGAGCACTTCTCTGAGTAATGGCTCATGGAGATCTGGTCACGCCTAGGTACACACCGCCAGCTGCTCTGGCTTCGGGTCTCATTTTCTCTTAGAAAACCAGACCAATGCTCACTGCCCGGCAGTTCTGTCTAGTAGGCGGTGGTAAGACCCCGAGCTCAACGGTCACCTGCGATAAGCACAGTCAGTACCATGAGCGAGGCAGGCCGTTCGGGTTCGGTAAACAACCGGAGGCTTACTCGAACCGCTGACCTCACAGTGCCCTCCGGCGGGAAGGCTCTCTGCGGGCCTCATGCGCGTCACACTCAGCGTGCACACGGTGCGTGTGCTCAGCAGACACGCGGGGCAAAGCGAGCACGCCCACTGCGCACGGCCACGCCACTCTGCCTTCTCCGTGCAGCGAGAGTATGAGCACGCGTACCGTGTGCCTCAGGGTCTGGGACTCACCCTGCGTGGGATCTAGCTCCTGTAACCACCAGGCCACGGGCGACGCGGGGAGATTTGATCATTAACGAGGAACAGCCGTTGGGTAGGAACTGGTTCCCAGCCTGGACGACCGCCCCTGGGGGCCTGTATCGTCCTGGTCTGGCGCCCACTGAGGCGGGCTGGTGGTCGGGGGCTGCTGCTGGCATCCAGGTAGGGCCCAGGACTCTGCAGTGCACAGGACAGCCACCAAACCTCAGCTAAGAAAGGGCTGGGGGATCCACGGCCCGGCTAGAAGTAGGAACGCCCACCCAGCACGAGCGGGAGCCAAGGAAGGACGTTTCCGGCGGGGAGTCAGGTGTCAGCTGTCGACGTGCTCAAGTGTCCACGCGGCCTCCCCGCAGGTCAGAAACCCGCATCTCCCCGACCTGCAGCTCCCCCAAGCACAGCTGATGACAGGACCCTGGGCGGGATGCCAGCTTCCGCTTGTCCTCTCCGCTGGTCACCGCTGTGCAGCATGGGCCTTACAGGCCAGGCCAGCGTGTGCCACGACCCCACTCCTACAGTGATACATCACACAGCTCTTACACGCGTGTGCGGCCATGCACACTCATGGCAAGGGGACAGAGAGAGACTAAAACAGGGTGACCCGCTCGGGGAGGAGGCAGGCGGGATGAGACGGTGCTTGCAGGTGTCCTCTCAGCGACAAGGACAAGGGCCAACGCCAGCTCTCTGCCAGGAACCTGAGGCCAACCCCAGAAAAAGAAAGGCACCCGGAAAGGGAAAGGGGACGCGGGGCAGCCGAGGAAGACGGTGACAGCCAGGGCGGCCGAGAGAGCAGGGGCCCATCTGCCGTGAGCCAGGGACCAGCCGCATGCTAAGGACCGCCTGGCGGGTTGGTCCCGGCCCCCCCCAGCCGCACCCTTTGAGAGCCACAGATCTGGGACCAGCAGACGGTGTAACGGCTATGTTGCTGGACTCCCACACATTCGACCACGGTTCGAGCCTGGACCTGGCGGCTTAAACCTCACACCAAGAGCGTGGGCATGTGCCCAAAATCCCAAGAAGAGAAAAAAGAAGTAACTGCGGCGTGGCCATCCTCCCCGGGGGTGATTTCTTGCTTTCTATCTCTCTGTCTCTGCCCGTCTGGTGAGCACACATGCCCACAAAGCTCTCTCTAAAAGAGCCCGTGGTGGCTGGTGGGTGAGGTGGCGGCTATCTGCCATGAGGTAAGGGGAAGTCACGCACGGAGTCACAGGAGAGTGTAAACGAACCACGGGAGGGACTTGGGCCTGAGGGTGACCAAGTGCCCAGAAAGTCTTGGACAAGAGTAGGTGTGGCGGGGCCGGACGCCAAGGCTGCGTCCGGTCACGGGATGTACCGGGCCCTTCCGGGCTCGGCGAGTCCCCCCTGGGGCCCTGCTAAGCCGGCGGCAGCACCAGCCGAAGAGGAGGGG